GTTCCACTTGTAGGTCTAATAAACAAAACACAACAAAAACATCCAGGTCAAAATGAATTTATCACAGGACACATGTTTATAACATGTTTATACACAGATACATATTTAACGCCATAAAAAAAACTTGACACTGACTTTCTTCCACTAGTTTCTAACCAAATGTGTTGCTGCTTCTGGTATCCTGCTGCTTTTCACTGCTCACTTCAGTACAACGTAACACAACTCAGTACAAGGGACGTTTGAGTCACTGCCCCAACATCCTCAGACACAACTACACATTTTACACAAGCTCAACATTTCTTGGACCAAAACAGCAGGAAAGGTTTTTAAATGCATGATGTTAAAGATCTTAGCTCTGCTGCATTTATGTTGAAATGCTGACAGGAAACAAAGTCCCACCCCATGACAATCTGTCCCTCCCCAGGACAACTTGTCCCTCCCACACCATATTTAGGCATCAAGCGTTGTTCAATCTTTGCAGCTGGTACCAGTTGTCTGACGGTACAGGAGATCATCAGGGTCACTGTCAGAAAATGACTGTTTGCTGCTGGAACACAGACATTTCCCCATTGAGGGATCAATAAAGTACCTTCCTAGCTAAAAAAAAAATCTGAATCCTGACTTTAAAGTTGACTACTAAAAAGTATTAGATAAGGAAATGTTCAAATGTTTTATACATCATATATGTACATTGAAGACACCTTAACTTTGAACAAGATCTACATTATTCTACACCTTCTAAAATTCTGACTCATTAAAAAACTCAGATTAGCTGCTCTTAATACATAAACATTTTGTAGGGCAAGATAACATTATTTTATAACATCAGCCAAAAATCTTTCGCTACATAAACATTAACAACAAAAGCTCACCTTCGCCAGAAGCAGATGGACACAGAAGTATAAAGACTAACACAAACATAGCCATGACTGGTGTGGATGTGACATTGAGCTGTTTTCCTCTGTGAGGAGGTGAAACTTGCCAGTAGGGTATTATGTGAGCGCAGTGTGTTCAGAGGTGGAGTCAAACAGAAACGAAAGCCATGTGCACTGCAGCCTATTTTAGCCATGACTGGTGTAGATGTCACGTTGAGCTGTTTCACTCTGTGAGGAATTGAAACTTGCCAGTAGGGTATTATGTGAGTGCAAAGTGTTCAGATGTGTGTTCAGAGGTGGAGTCAAACAGAAATGAAAGCCAAGTGCACTGCAGCCTATTTTACTTTGCACTGGGCATAAGTTATTGCACATGAGTACAACAACCAGAGGGTGTATACACTGCTCCAAAGTAGGCTACACAATGTCTTTTACAAGTTATTATTTTGTGTGAAAAAGTTATATCTTGTATATATGAAGATTTAAAAATGATTATATGTGGGCATTCTTAAGCTTAAACAATGAAAACATCGAGTCTAAACACCTTAAATCCCCCATGAACACTGCAGAACTGTTCTACTCTCTGTGCAGCAGCACAGGTCTAAGTTTAACAGAATCAGAATCAGCTTTACTGGCCAGGCGTGTCAGACACACTCACTCCAATACAACGGCTCTCAGTGCGCATGTACGTGTCCTTATGTAAGGCAGCAGTGGCCAAGTAAACAATATAGGGCTGTGAGAATAGGAAGGAGAGAAATGTGCAAACAAGACAGAGGAATGTACATTAGGAAAAACAGATGTTCAATGTTCTGTTTCTCACAGTGTCTATTAGAAGTAAGTTGTGGCCTACACACGTTAGCTAATTCTGATGATTATAAAATGCTATAGGCATCATTTTCTTATCTCCCTGCCAGCTCCCACAGCTTCTTTGTTTTATAGGTTCACATGAGCGACCACAGACGTAGGCACTTTAGAAATCGTCCAACAACAAACAGACTACACATGCACATTTATGTTTCTCATTCCTAAAATGTTTAACGTTCTTCAGTAGCTCAACATGTAAAGAGACACTCTCCTAGGTTTTAATTTGTAGCTTGTTGATGAACAACAGCCGGTGTCGTATTGTCGAGTTTCCCCATTGAGATAAGTTTCCTGTAGCACATCCCTCAGTGGCTGTGGTTAGGATGAGGTTGGGTCAGGTTAATATTGGAGGAAACATTTTGACAGGACACACACTTCGACACAATACAAACCCTGCCAATAGTGCAGCTACATCCTTGTGTCCCGTCGCCCATAACATAACATTATGCCAACAACAACAGGTTTCTAAACACATGTACGATCATCACATGCTCATTAGGTTAGCCGCCAGACTGCAACATGATGTAGGCCTAGTGATAAAGATGTTTGTTTATCACAGAGGTCCGACCACCTCGGACATAAGACATTATATATGTGTCTTATTCCTGAGCACAACGAGGCATTCTGACAACAGGAATGTGTTTTCACACACAAAGCCTAGTGTGGAGAGATGTCTAGGGAAATGTATTGTTTATCCTTTATTTTCTTATGCAACTAAACATTAGACATAATTGTTTAACAGCCACAAAACCACCATATAGGATAAGTACAGCTCCTCTCATTTGTGTGACACAGATGCAGAGAAACTCTCAGTCAGATATTACTGAGTTACCTGCTGTGTGTCACATCTGGTCCAACTCAAAGTCAATGCCAAACAGTACAAGATGCTGTCTGCTTCTAGATCATCTCTCTTTTTCACAATGGCACAAAGACTGGACAGAGAAACAGACGCAAAGATTTTAACCTTCAGGACTCATACAGAATAATCCCCTTTTGAGTTTGGTTCTTCCACTGGTGCACATGTTCTTATGGAATCTATACTGGACCACTGCTCCAGACCACAGCTCCCAGTATCCTCTGAACACACAAACCCTCCACCACGATAAGGTGGCAGTTCAAGGAGGGGGTCATTACAGTCGTCATCTGTGATCATCAGCTCTGTGTTACAGGAAGCTGAACTGTTTAGCAAATGGTTTATTGACAGTGTTACTGTATCCATGACTCTGTTGTGCAAACATTTACACCTGAATTGAAATGTTTTGATCTCTACTGGTGTTTCCATTGTCTTCATGACAGTGGAACTGGGAACACTGGTTTGTCTGCAGCTGTCACAGAAAGTCTGGACAATGGTTTGGATGACAGTGATACACTCACCCAGTCCACTTCCCAGTTAGGATTTATGTTTCATAACAGCTGTTGGTCACCTGCTTCTTCATCAGGAGGAGGAGGAGGGTGGGGATTCTTCTTCATGTGTCTTTTATATTTCAGGAGGACGGAAACAACAACAACAACAACAACAACCATCACAACAAAAAGTGAAAGAACAACTATCAGTCCAACATGTCCTCCACTGTTTCCATCCATGTTCCCTCCATCCTTGGCTCCTCCATCCTTGGCTCCTTCCTCCCCGTTGCGTCCTCCAGTGGAACCTGTAGAGGAGCAGCAGGTGTGAGTATCAGCTGTCAGGGAGGTGAGGCCCCAAGACCAGAACCAGCTCCTGTCAGACATGATCTCCTGCACTGGGACCACATCACTCAGCCCAGCTGCTTTCTACAAGGCCTCATCAACAACATCTGGAGAAAACACCAACATCTGTCTGGGATGGTTCACTGTCACATGGACAACCAGGAAGCTGCTGCTACACACACACACATACACACACACACACACACTCACCTAGTTTAACATCCAGGTAGATGGTGCTGATGGGCTCATTGTTTAGATATCTCTTCCTGCGCGTTGTTTTTCCTAGGACGACACGACACTCGTATGTTCCTCTGTCACCAGTCGTCACATTCCTCAGAACCAAAGACACGTCTCCGTCCTTCATCTCACTGTCCTCCAGCTCCACCCGGTCCTTAAAAGACTCATGCTGGCTCTCTAGAACAGGTCGCCCGTCCCGGTACATAAAGACATATTCTGGTTCCAGGTCAGTTCTGATCCACTCTACAACTATGATGTTGGTGCTGCTGGGAGCTCGACATGACAGAGTGATGTTGTCTCCAGGTTTAACTGTGATGTTTATCTGGTCTAAATCAGAGAAGAGCAGACAGAGAGCAGAGGTTAAAGGGTCCAGGTGTAACTCCACACGTCCACAGCAGCCAATCAGAGGGGACACTGGTCTCTGCTGGATTGGGTCAGGGAGAGTCCTGTTAGCAGTAACAAGTTCTAAAGCCAGGGTCTGTCATAGTCTGGGGTCATGCCAGTGCCCTTGGCAAAGGTCACACACACTTCTGTGATGGCTCCATTAATGCTGAACAATACACTGAGATGTTGGATGCTGTCTTCAAGACGACGTCTTCTCCAGGGACGCCCATGCAGATTTCAACAAGACAATACAAACCTCATCCTGCCACGGTACCAAGGCCTGGCTGTGGAAAAGGGCCTGAGTGCTGGACTCTGTAGTAAACGCTTTACTGACTCAACTTTTGTTGGAATGTGTTGCAGCATCAAGATTGAAGTGAGTGTTTATTTTGAACAAAGAATAAAACTGATGAGGTGTCACATCACACAATGTGCTGCTGTGTTGTTTTCAGTGTAACACAGGACACAGATGATTGACACAATAGTTTTCCATTTAGATTTGAACTTCTTTTGATTCGGGGTTGTAGATATTAGACATGGCCTGTATCAAAATGTGGAGTCAAAAGCTATTATCCTGTATCTAAAGTCATTTAAAGGGTTTTTCAGGTGATTAATGCGTTAAAGACGGTGACATGGTGTCAGTTTTTATCACGTTTTAATTGGACTTTAAAACAGTCATCAGGATGATGATGATGATGATGATGATGATGATGATGATGATGATGATGATGATATAACGTTGTAAAACTGATACAGTCTCATAAAATCACCAACTCTATTGTACTATAATAGTCATCTGTTAAGACTCGACGAGCTCTGAACCCGTGAAAACAGGACGTGAATAAAAACAGAACTCACCAGAAGCAGCAGAACAAACCAGGATCCAGCCCGAAATCCAACCCCAACAAACCAGTACAAATAGTTTAATGGCCATGTCTCTGTTCTGGTCCTGTCCTCTCCGCAGTCAAATGGTGTTAAGTCTCAAAAGACACAGTTAATTTACCGAGAGGCGTTTATAGAAATCCAAGTTTAATTTTAAACCTATATTTAACTTGGAGCCACAGAGTAAACACGGTTTTACATGAAGCTGTCTACTGCTGCCCCGTGACCCCGTTAAGGGATTAAGCGGTCGAAAATGAATGAATGAATGAATGTCTACTGCTGAAACGTGTTGGTCTAAACCTCGGTTCAAAGCAGTAGAGCCCGCCCCCTGGTTCAAGGTGGTGCTGATGTGTAGACCTTATGGGCGGTGCTGTGAAAGGGATCAGCACAAGGAAAACAAAGCAGTGAATCTGAAAAATGAATTGTATTCTCTGATTGTTTAACAAAGGCTAAGTTCTAAAGCACAAATTAACACGTCCACATATTTGCACAATCCTTCATTAAGGGTCTCATGTGCACTGGTGAGAGAAGTTGGGTGGTGCCGGGGCCGCAGCCCCCTTAGTGTTGGCTGTGACGCAGAGGTCGGCCATGGTGTGGCTCTGCCAGGTACAGGTGACAGGTAACGAACCATTATTTTATTAAACTACCTTCCCCTAGAGGTGAGATCTAAGTCGGAGCTGGCCGTTTTTAAGCCAGCTTTAAAACCGTTTTCTTTAGGGCAGGCTTTTTTAGGCATAAATTGGCTCTCTTCATTTACAGGTATGTGAAAATAAATTCACGTTTCTCAGATGTGGGAAGGTTTTAGAAAGGCACAACCTGAACCTGAACCTGAACCTGTTTGTTTCTTGGTTCCTTGATATGAGTCCTGTTTTATGAGCCTTTTAGACTGAATATAAACTGAGACATCACACTGGACTGATGGCTCCAAACACAGAAATTAATAAATAGCTGATTTCATTTAGCAGTTTATTTTGTGTTGTCAAACAACAGAGCACCACTACACAGACATAGACTGATGCTTTCTAAAGACATATACTGTGTTTCCTTAGTTCTGTAGGTTAAAGCATAGTTTTAAATTCTAAAGTCTCAGGATATCTGTGTTTACATGTCATGTACTTTCTATTAGACAGATAGTGATAGTTTATCTCTGAGACACACCTCAGATCCTTATTTCAACAAAATATACTTCACTACAGTTGATCAAAACCAGGGAAACCGCTCATTTAAACAGTATTTTGTTTTATAAAAACAAAATGTGAATTCATACATTTTAAAAAGAACATTAGCTTGTTAGACTGTATATAGGATTGTTATAGGAAAATGTTTAATGATCTTAGACTTTTTCCACCATAACATGTAATTCTTAACAGTAGGGCTGTAAAACCTACTCCAGTGATAAAGGAGTAGTGTTTGTATTCCCATCTCATGATTCAACAGGAACCGATAGAAGAAGGAGTGATTTTCCGGCTCATTTGCAGTTTTTATTTCTAAATTCTGATCCGTATGGACACAAAAATCCATTCTCATGTCTGCAATGAAACAGGAGGGCCTTCTATTTTTATTAGGATTGACCTGCAGGTTTTCAAAGACCCCCAGTGAGCCATCTTTTTCAGAGCTTCATACACCAATGCCAGGCATAACGTTGTGTACATACGTAGACTACCCAACTTCAAACCAGGAAATATGTAAAGTTTCAAACCCACAAAACAGAATTTTCAGCACTGATTCTCTACATGTACACACATTGTATTGGCTCTAGGTGGTGCTACACTGGTTCTTCAAAGAAAACCTGTCACAGCATCATCGTGTGTTCTCTCATGCTACACTACCAACCTATGGTATATTTTTTACCCAACATTTTTATTTACAACTATTTCATATGATGACCTCTAATGATTATTATCAGATTATTAAGGCATATTAACCCCTAATCGAAGTCCACATGGTATTCTCTGGCTGCCTATGACTCTCAGTACATAAGAGGTAACTATCATGAACCATACATATGCCTTCTTACTTGTTTTATGATTTTGTGTTTTATTTTATCTTAATGTTAAGCATAAGAAGATTTTTTATAGTTCACACACCATGTGTACGTATTCATGTTTGCTCAGATGTAACAATGGAATCTTGGCTCAGCTGTATTCATATACAGACCATATGTGAAAGTGTTTATGGAAACACAGTACATATGTTAATGTTAGGGGCAGAAGTGATCAGGATCAGAATCAGAATCAGAATCAGAATCAGAATCAGAATCAGAATCAGAATCAGAATCAGAATCAGAATCAGAATCAGAATCAGAATCAGTTTACTGGCCAGGTGTGATGGACACACGAGGAATTAGACTCAGGTACATCAGCTCTCAATGTGCAAACAGTAAACCAGCATAAGGCTGTAATATAACAAAGATAAACAGTATTAACATCAACAACCAGTGTAAACAATGTAGAATAAGCAGTATAAACAGACGGTAAACAATGCAGACAACAAGGGAATGTTCATTGAGGTAAATAGGGATAAAGCAGAGAACTTAAGTGGGATGAGTGGGAGCACAGTAAGAAGCAACATTCACTGCACATGCACTATTCTAATGTTGGAGAAAGTATTTCAATGCACTGAAGTAATGCTATGTGACTTTATAGTTTTACTCTAGTAATCAGTGCTCCCTCTTTTTCCATTCAACATTGATTCTGATGCTACAGTGTGTTTTTGTGTAACCTTACCGTTGTACCTGTAACATGTTTGTAACCAGTTTCTCCAGCTCTTAATGGTATTTCAGCAGCTATTTTGACCTGTTTTGTTTCTCTTTGTAGAGACAACAACCCTTCTTTTAGTCTCTTTTCTAGTCCAGAGTGCAGCATTCTCACTGTTTCATGTGTCTTTTGTGCCTGACTTTAGACAAGGGGTGCATCTTTTAATTATTTTAACTGTCTCTGTAGTTGTTTTAATCTGTTTTCATAGTTTTGTTTTTATGCTGTGTAGCACACATCAGCATGGTAGGTGGCAGTAATGTACCCATACATTGCTTCACCGCCTGCAGAAAGTAGTAAGAAGAGGAGGCAGGGTCTATATTTATGCCTGACAAATCTTTATTTAGCAACATACCATCGGCAAATACCTGTCTGTATGGATGTGGATGTGTGTCTGTGCATGGGCGTCTCCCAGTCGAGCCTTCTTACACCATGGTAGGCTAACTGTTTGGCAAAAAGTTAAACTCTACAAAGTGTTGAATAGCATCACCGTAGGCAAATCCGTATGTCAGGTTTTAGTCACAGTAATGACTCGGCTGGCTCCGGAGCGTGGAGAGTAGCGCGAGTACCAGGGATGAGGAATCACAGCAGCAGGAAAAGTAGACTAGGTAACCGATGTAGTCTTATTTGAGGTCGCACACTTAGAAGTGTAATCTTGGGAATGAAGTCCTCGAGCCGAGGTAACGTGGCGATGAATCACAGACGAACTGGTGTTTGCTGAGCTTTTCTCTGGGGCTTATATAAGTGGCCACATCGATGACTGCCAGATGCGCTGCAGCTGTGGCCACACTCCAGGGGGCCCGTACCCGGTGAGAGAGAGCGAGGCAGGGGGGGGCGGGCAAAACGGGTGCAGCCCTGTATGCACCACATATGTTACTGTAAACATGATCCAGGGTGTTCTTGCCCCGAGTGGGAATGTACACTGGTTGGTAATATTTGGGGAGTACAGTCTTTAAATTGCACTGGTTAAAGTCGCCAGCCATGATAAAAACAGCGTCAGGGTGCGCCATCTCTAGCACGTTGATGACGTTGTGGAGTTGACTGAGTGCTGGCATGGAAATACATGATGAAAATACATGAACGACATTTACACAAAGAATACATTTGTTTAAACAGTTTAAGAGGTCATACACACACTGAGACAGAATGCATTTCATTCACCTTTATTTTGTAATATTGCAGCAGTTGATGTTCATTTGCTTTGTTGAAGTGTTACAAAAGCAAAATTATTTCAAATACATACAACCAATAGAATCCTGACACTACGGAGCAGGTCTAGTGCACTAACAGGGTGGAAACGTTTCCAATCACATTTCAGTGGCTGAACAAAGCAAAGCTGTCAGTGTAGGCGACAAATGTTATGTTCAAAAGAACCGCGTAAATATATGTGTGGTCAGAATGCTACGCTGACAGTTACTGTGCGTTTTGGCTTGACTCTATCACACTATTTATGCGTGACACTAGACGTCCTTTGCTTTCCACGCTGACAGTTCCTGTGCTGTGGATTACATTGTGTATGTTGGTCTTTTTCGTATCTGTGTTTTTTTATTTGGCTAGATGTCTCTGTTTTCCACGCTGACAGTTCCTGTGCGGTGGACTACAGTTGCCATCTCTACCCAACTCGGACTATATGTACTTGGACTTTGTTTTGTTCTTTTGTTACTTTGTGTTTATTTACCAGTGAACCATCATTTTCCTACTAGCACCTGGGTCTGCACCCTTGAGTCAAGCAAAATTATTTCAAATACATACAACCAATAGAATCCTGACACTACGGAGCAGGTCTAGTGCACTAACAGGGTGGAAACGTTTCCAATCACATTTCAGTGGCTGAACAAAGCAAAGCTGTCAGACACAGGTACAAACCACCTGCTTGCTTTGTTTTGTATATTTTGTAAGAGCCAGAGTAATCACCACTTGAGATAACCATATGATCAGATTAGCATGTTTGCAGGTTTGCTTTGTCCTGCATGGCCCCTGGAGTCTAGCTGTCTACAACTCCAGATGACTGCATTTACATATATATTGCCTAATTGTTGCCCGAAACTCAATATCAACACACCTGGTGTTTCTAGTAAACTATGTGAGCCGGTCAACCCCTGCCCACTCTAAGGACCAATAGCATTATGACACATCGAAGCCCAACCTCTGTCCAATCTTCACCCAGAGGATAAAATGTAATTGCAAACTGATTTCAATGCTTTTAGGATGACGATGTTCCTGCATGAGCCTCGCCACTCCAAACCCAGCGCTGTTGCTTTACCTGTGTCTAGACTTTAAATAAATTTCTTTTGATTTTATACAGTCCTCTTCTGTCTTCACTTCTCGAGCTTTCAATAAAAGGAACTGGTTTCCAACAGGATGACGTTCTTGATGTGCTTTAGAATATTTTTATATAGTCAAATATTACAAATTCGATATTGAATTGAAATTGTTCTAATAAAAACATCCCTTGTTCTGAACATCTAAATCTTAACTTCAAGTT